GATTTTTGATGCTTTGGTTGCAGCATTTGATAAAATATTACCTAATGCATTCAAAGTTTCTTGGTCTTCCTTATCATTATTATTAATTAGAAAAACCCCTTTTTTGCTAACCTTCTGCCAAAAAAACTTCTCACTTTTACACTGTTTGAGATCTTTTGTGTCTGTGATCTCAATTTTAATTAAATGCGAACCTTTCTCACCTGGAGTTGTGATTCTACGTCTAGAGTTTCCACAATTGTACAGAAACTGTTGACTTATTTTCAAAGAATTGGTTTGTTTTTTTTGAAACAGTTTTGCAAATGCGTCCTCATCGTCTGACTTGTCTGACAAATCAGATGACGATGATGAAGAAGAATTGTATTCTTTTTTAGATTTCTTAGATATTTTCTGTTGGTCAGAATCTTTACGTTTATAATTTTCATATGATTTAACAGAGGCTTTAGTGGATTTGTGAACAGTTTCTTCAAACATTAAAATTTGGCGTATAAGGTTGCCAAATCTTTGAACATGATCAAATGAAAACTTTTTGTCTTTTAAGTGTTGTTTCTCTACTTCAGGCAACCAAATATTAGAGAAATCGTCAAATTCAATTTCTAGATAGGAAAGACTTTCAACATCTTTTTGTGACATATTAGGATCTGCATGAACATGGTCAAAAAATACTTTGTGAAAATGTTTCAAACACCCATACATTTGGGTGAACACAGGATCTGTGAGTATGTCTTCCCTATTTCTTAATCCATCCATGACCCTCTCCCACTTAACTAAGCTATTCATTCCAATTATATGTAAATTCTCAAGAAGTTGTAAGATGGTGAAGTAAACAATACCAGGTAGATTGGAGGCATGACTAGTTGATGGACGAGGCTCAGATGTGACTGTGACTTCTTGACTTAGATCAACAATCTCAACAGGATCCATAACTGTAACAAAAAGACGATAGCTTTAGTAACATCCCGTTTTTAGATCTATAAATATTAACAACTAAAATCACAGTTAGATAGTTAATTCATACGATGTATTTTACATTGTTGTTCAAAAAATCAGTGTAAGCATTTGAATAAACATATGCTGTGTTAAAAAATCATACCAGTGAAATTTTGCAACACTTCGTTTTTAAATCTATAAATATTAACAACAAAAATCGCAGGCAGATAATTAATCCATACGATGTATTTTACATTGTTGTTAAACAATCAGTGTAAAGCGTTTAAATAAATATATAGTGTGTTAAAATCATGCAAGTGGAATTAAGTTTTCTTTAAATATTAAACATACTATGTTTACTGACAACATTGTTTACTGACAACATCCTTACTTACTTAAGTTTTTAAAATGAGAAATCTCCGAACACGGTGAAAAGAAGACTCGTTGAAAAACTCAGGGAAGTTACTCGAAGGTGTTGACTGATGCTCTAGTGTGACTCTCAAATATACGGGAGACTAAAGAACAAAAATAAGAAACATATTACTAAACAATGTAACGAATAACAAATAATATGACATATTTCAGTATTTAAATCAATTGTTTTAACTCTTGTAGGTTGTGAAACTGTTTACTTTCTTTCAATTCGAAATCCAAGAAACTATTCATGTAAGACTGAACCAATCATTATTAAAATATTTAATGTGGAACAGATGTGAAACTGGTAATTTATTTTACGTAATGAATGAGGTTGCTTCAATATTGTAATACAGATTGATATTGTTATAAATTAGAATTACAGAACATATGCAGAGTTAAAACCTATAAAAGTGTGATGTAATTTTTAAAATACACTTACTTTTGTTTTTATCTCAACAAGTATGGGGAGAGCCTGACACCAAAGGAAGGACAGCAAACCAGAAGGATTCGTATCGTATCGGAAGCTTAAACAAACATTGTACAATTAGTAGTGCACAGAGTAAGTTGGTTTATTTTAAATAACGTTGTTTTAAAACATTAACAGTAAAATTGAATACTGTGATAAATGTGACTTTAAATGTGCACAATTTTATTTTATTAGTAAAATCAAAATAGGTTTGATTTTAAAAATAAACAAAAAAGCTTTAAGCTTTACATTATAGTTTCATAAACAGTAGATAAAAACAAAATAGTTTATTTCTTTAGATTTTTAACAGAAAAAGAAAATAGTTTGAAGTCACAGTACTTACTTTGATAAAAGCGATGTAACGCCGAGGTACTCTGACACAGCTGGTTGTGAACTAACAACTATCGAGTTGAGTTAGGTCTAGTTTTTATAATTAAACGGGTAATAAGCTTAACAAGTTTGTGTTGAAGCGGTTAATTGTTTAAGAGGAAGCGCTCCACTTATTGAGGATATGACTCAATTCATCAAGTGCAACCATTGTTTCCCTGGTTCCAAATAATTTTGCTTGTTCAACAAAATCTGTCTTGTAAGAAGTTCCATCGATTATTAAAATCTTATTTCCGAAAGTATGTGATGTAAAGTGTTCTTCATGAAGTTTGTGCAAATCAATGATATATTGCAATTGTATCCTTTCAATTTCTTCTGTCCTACCTCTAATATTTATTCTATTAATGCAACTCTCGGGATCTGTTTTCAAATATACAACCAAATGATTTTCATATGTCTCCAATATTCGAGGGGTTTTATTTTTTATATTTTGCATAATTGTTACTTCCGCAGGATGAAATATGTTGTTACTTAAATATTCAGAAAATATGTTTAGAACACTAAATGAAGATCTTTCCATTATAATTACATTTCCTTCTTTTGAAAGCTGAACAGCTTTTGACTCAATATATGTATCATGTCAATTAGTGTGTTTATTTGAAACGGGAGAGCCCACTTTTCTTTATTATCATAATATAGTTTTAACAAATTCTCTCCATTAAAATTAATCCATTCATCTACTGGTTCTTTAAAAAGAATAACCTTATAACCATATGACTGTAAGATTTTATACAGCGATTGAGAATATACACTTTTACCAGAGCCAATATTTCCATGTATTGTAATAATCATTATTAACCAAAGTGGTGATGAAGATGTGGTGTGCAAATAAATACTGGCGGAAGCAGTGTTAATTTTGTGTTAACCAATTTAAACTAGCCTACATTGGATTGTAAGCAGTATGAATTAAGAATACAATCTCTTGATACACCTAAACAATTAGTATGTTTTACATTAGCTCTGAAAAAATATTAATTATTACCCTTTATGTAATGCTTTTTTTAGTAAATCTTGGTCATCGCATATAAACAACTGTCAATTGATTATTGATAATAATTGATCAATCAAATAATGATAAATGTAATCGATTGCATCGGCTAGTCACGTGACTTTGTGCCAGAACCCGTGTCATTTTTGACAAAAGTACATGGTGTCATTCCCGAGTTACACTACATGGTGTCCTTCTCGCGGTGTACACCACTCCATATGTCTACCATGCTAGACATGTCATACCTAGCATTGTTGGCTATGTCACACCTAGCATTGTTGGGTACGTCACACCTAGCATTGTTACACTATGTAGTGTAGTCATTCCCGAGTTACACTACATGGTGTCCTTCCCGCGGTATACACCGCTCCTTATGTCTACCATGCTAGGCATGACATAGGTAGCATTGTTGGGTATGTCATACCTAGCATTGTTTGGAACCCTCTTGTGCCAGAACCCGTGTTTTATAACTACTAGCCGCGCCGACTTAAAATACGTGAGCTTGCCTAATACAAAAGTTTACTTTATTGAAATTATTTCATTCTTTTTAGAGCGTTTGAAGTCGGTTGTATTTTTTTACAAAAAGAGATTATAAACAACACAAAAACCAGCTCTGTACCTTGTTTAATAAGATTTATATGAATTTTCAAAGTTGTAAAGTCCTTTTTGAATCACCCTGTACTTCAATGGCCGTTAAATACAAAATATAAAATTGTTAATCTAGAATAAATTTTAACCAGTGGGTCCAACCAAAAACTAATTGGAACTCAGTTGACGAAGAACTTTCTCCGGATGGGAGATGTCTCTCCACCAGTTGATCGATAATTGACCTAGTGATCCAACAGGACAAAAATCATTAACGGTATAAACTCACAAACAATAATTTTCAACACAAAAAACAATAACATTTATGTAACTTTTCCAAAGTCCAGAACAGCGACACTATGCAGACCCCATCAATCTGTCCACATTATGGGGATGATTGTAGAGGGGTGGTGGAGGATTTACGACCCTCCAGGGCTTATCTGAGACTGTTAATTAGTATTAACATCCCTCACCGAGTCTACTCCAGTATTGACAGGTGTTCAGCCAGGTTTTGATTAATGTTTGGTTTTGGCACCTCTCAGCTGGACCACACAGTGATTTGTGCTCTTGACTGTAAAGTCTGTTGCTTGGATGTGGAAACATATTTGGAGCTCGATTTATTGTTACGTCTCATAAGGACCTAAAGTGAAAAAAATGAAAATGAAATTTTGTTTATTTTACCAGGCAAAGTTAGGGCCACATGGCCCTCTCTTACACTTAACCTGACAAACTTAAATATAAATAAATAAAAATACAATGAAATTTCTTAATCTAATATAAATATATATTTAGCACTTTAAGAACACGTAAAAAAATTCAATTTAAAAAATAGTAATTATTATAAATAGAATATACAAAAGAAACCACGTTCACACTCTCACACGCATACGCACCAGCAATCGCGCAAAGACGCAGAAGCCCTAGGACACGCCAGCCGAGACAATTTGCTCAAAGTAGAGATTTTTTAGTGCTACCAGAAACTGGGAACGTTTATCAAGGGATTAAAGTGTAGAGGTATGCTGTTCCAAAGATAGCAAGCGGTAACAACAAAAGCCCTGTCATTAGCGGTGGTCAAATGAAATACGCAATGTGATCGAAGAACTAGAAATTCATGAACTACCTTGAGACACAAATTTAAAATCTGATGTATAATATTTCAGGGAGCCTGATTTTAAAATTAAAAAGACCAATCCAAAAATGTTGATGGATCTTTGATAATTTAATTTCAAGATGTTTGCCTCAAGGTAGTATGGCGTGATATGCTCCTCACGCCGCAGACCATAGATCTCAAAGCATAATTCTGAGACCGTTGGAGCGGGTATGCTTGAATCGCAGTCATGTCATTGATCAATGAGTTGCAGTAACTGAAGTGGGACAGTACAAGTCAATTATATGTACATGTAAATTGACTCTTGAGGTCAAGGGTAACGACTGGAACGAAACTGAGTATGAAAAATAAAGTAAAACCCACCTATGTGGTAAACTAGATTATTCATCATACGAAAGTTAAAAGTTCTTCAAGCCAACTATCTCAATAAACGAAAAAGATCTATGCTGTTTAAAAGATAGCTCCCAAAGTTTCTCGCACAATTTTTCTATACACAGACAAATAGATACTCAACTAAAATGTCATCTATTTAGCATGTTTTCCTCGTTTCACCCCTCCGCAATATTGAATTCAAATTCAAAGAAATTATTTAATTTCAAATTTTAATTAGTATATTGATAAATGCCACTGACATTCCTACATAGTGCAATAAAATAAGCAGAAAAACGAGAAATAAAAGTAAGAAAAGAAAAATAATTTGTATTGAAATGACACCTTTATCATCATATTTATCAGTTACATAACATTACATTGAGGGGAACGTCAATCATTAAATATGTGTTACATGATATGGCCACCTTAACAATTGCATCTTAAAGTAAAGTACATAAGATCCTAAGATCATAAGTCCTTTTTGTGAAGTACATAAGATCGCGAGTAAGGAATTCAAACCTTTCTCATTTTGAAACTCACACCTAATTTACCAGTTGTCAATTACACTCTCGAGCCAAAAACGATCCATCGATAACGATCACAATGTACACAAAATCAGTATTCAATCGCTGACATTTAAACATTCAAACCCACACAAACGGGCAAAATCTCAATTCACAGCAATCAGGCTCGAACCGATTGCGCTGCTTGACACTCAATCATATTAAAGTTTACCAGCGAAAGTGTTTCTGCCAACCCACTCCTCAGTAAAGACCTATCCCACTCGCAAACTGTGAGTGTGTGTGAGTGGGAACTCGATCGGCGAGCTGGGAAAGTGAGTGGGAGAAAATTCATTTTCTTATCAGACGTAATTATAGGGGTGAACGGACTTGAGGTAGGCTTAATGTGTTGGCGTTCACTGTATAAGGGTAGGTCAGAATTATGGTAATTTTACAGGATAAATATATTGATTCGGTAATGGTTTGATATAATAATAATTTATTGACAACACATGGTATGCACACAATAGATTTATTGAGAGAATCATTTATTGAATCGTGAAAATAATAAAGCGTAAATACTACTTCTACGTCGTGGTGGTAGACAATAAGTGAAAACTCAATTTACCTCGCTGTTATTGTATTGGCTACGTCAACACTAATAAGTACAAGCCTATTGGCGTTGATCAAATGTTAATTGAGGTGGGTAGCAGAGTGGATACATTGCTCGCCTAAAATCAAAAGTTTGCCAAATCGATCCTACTTTTTGATTGTTATAAACTGGACCCAGCTGTCCCTTGATCATTAGGATTTAAATAAATGATCCTAACTAATGAAACAGCTGATTTTAGTCAGTAACAAAGCTATACAGATCATCTCACTCCATTCTACACTCATCCTTCACTCATGTTTGGGTTCAAATACGCACCTAGGTTGTCCCCATCTCAATTGATAATGGTAGCTTCAAGATTCTAAACTTCATAAAGTGCATTCTTAATTAAAATTTTTAATCATTTTTTAAAATTTTATTTTAATATTTGAGTCAAGGTTTGTTCAATCAGAAGATTTACTAATGCACTAATGCATTGATATAATGGGAATTATTATCAATGGCCAATTATTGAGATCCCCACCTATGTGCATATTTTAAGGGGGCAGTCCACAAAAAAAACTAGGAACTTCAAAAAATGTATCAAATTTCAGTTATTTACCATTAAGTGTTCTACAGTTCTTTCTGAACATTTTGATGTATGACACATAATAAAAATATTTTTTATGCGGTGTTATTTTCCAAAATACTGTAAGTAAGTGCTACACTGGCTACGTTTACCGAAAGTTGACTATCACCCTCCTGGCTACATTGGTAAAGTTGTGTATTAAACGTTTTGTTTTTAGGCGCACTTTTAAATAATAACAATAAAAAAACTCTATTATGTAATAATTTTTTTCTTTATTTTGGTGGAGTTCCCCCCAACAGAATTGTGTTTCCTTTCGTTTCCGGGGCGATTACTGAAAGTTAGATTTTTTCGTCTATTGAGGTACTGAAAAAGACGTAGGGGCCTATCTCAAGTTCTGATATACATAATTCGATTATTTTTTTATTATTTTGAAGGGGACATTTTACTTTACAAACTCTAGTATGGAATAATCAAAGTTCAGGGGAAAAGATTTTGTGATGAATAACCAAAAATATTTCGTAATCAATTTGAAAAAGAAATTATTGAAATTAGATTTTTATAGAAATATTTGTTGTTTGGCAATTCCCATTCTACAGTTTGTAGATGTACATGTACTATTTAATTTTTTTAAATAATTACTAAATTATCTTATAACTTACTCCAGATATATCTGTTCCCGTAAACGTCTGCTTTTATAAAAACCACCCCAAGGGGTGATCAAGGGGGAGGAGGGAAATCATCATAAAAATTATCTTTAACTATGCTTAATTCTTAAACATAAAAAATAGGTTATTGCAAACATACATTTTTTTTCTCAGGTGGGAAAAATACCCCCTTCAGAATATAGCAACCAAAGTAGTGTGTAGTCTGTTCGAAACAACCAGTAACTACAACATGCAACATGCAGTAAATACTTAGTTAGAATATGCCACTCAAAACGAAAGCGACAAAACGTAAACAAACCACACTTCAGTCACTTTTGCTTTCATTAGTCCCAAGTTTGAACAACCTCTCCTGGAGGTCAGAGATCGTCGTCCTCTAAGTCCTCTGGGCGCGGGAGAGGATGAGGATCTACGGAGTGTGATCACACCCGCGTCACAGCACCAGCCAGGGTGTGGGCCGAGAAGGAAATCTGCAGAGGTAGGAGAAAACTGTCGTCGGCGCAGAAACAGTCCCAGTTCGCGAGCGATCCTCGGCAAATCCTTCGGTGAGTCTCTGTGTTAACTATAGGGTGTTAATTACGTACTGTTTGTTAATTAGGGTGTTTGGTGTGTGATTAAAATTAATTAGGACGCCTTTGCATTACTTGTGTACTCTTGAGTTATTTTTGTTTATTGACAAATTTTCTTTTAGATAGCCGGAACTTAGTTAAAACCCGTTAGATGTACTCTAACTTTGGTTAGGTTATGTTGACATAATTATTGCGTGAGGTTGTATATTTTTAACTAGATATATAATATTTATTTGAAACCGTGGTACACTAAAATAACGATCCCTAAACTAACCTAACTTCTACTTAAGGGGGTTTGTGAAATTAAATTATCTAGACTCTTGTCTTTACATATTATAGTGTAGTCTTAGGTTCATTTGATGCGTCGTAAATCTATTTTTTTTTATTAAATTAGCTATAAAGTAATTTATTTCAGATTAATCACCAGTAATTAATTAGCTACGAAGCTACTAACATTCCTTTAATGTTGAAATATCTTCTTTTTAGATTAGGATATCGGTTTTAGGAATATTATATCGTGTTTTAGCGAATTAACTTTTGTTCTCACTCGTAATTCCATTGGTACTACTGAGTAACTGTCTTCGATGTTAAATTCAATCAAACGTTTATTTAGAAAAGGGACATCATGCATAATCAAGAAAAATTGAATTAATGGGATTTTCCATAACCGAATTGACTCATATTTATTTTTTGCTGAACAGACCTTTTGTCTTTTTAGATTTTTACATTCAAAACTCTTACTACTAAAATGGTTAGTCCGTATATTTCTTTTTGTTTTTATCGTCTTTCACTTTGTCGTAATTTGTTGTCCAAGCCCAAGTTCTGTTGCTGTATCAAATGCGATGATTTAGTAGATAAAATCTTTCATGAATAATGTAGATCTAAAATTTAATTTTGATCCATCTAAAAATTAGTACATCATTAACAAGAATAAATAAGTAGGTATACGTGTTAAAAAATCTTTTAAAAATAAACAGCCGGTTAATGTAGTAAACAATATAATAGGGACAGTAAAAAAAAAAAAAAAAACTAAACTCTTTCGGGATAATCACAGAATCTATTTCTATGTGCAAAAACTAAACCAACCAAATCTACTACTTTTTTCAATTTTCCAAAAAAATAACGCAAACGTAACAAGTAACCCAATACTCCACGATAGAGGATAATGATGTCAGAAAGTTAAGGAGACACCCATCATATAGACAAGGCGGACATGTGATATCTCAATGGTGTACACTCGCCATTGTCCATTGTGCGGCCAAGACCAAAGCAGCCGCCATTGTTAGACGGTTTCCCCCCAAAATGAGGCCAATTATTAGAAGTGGAATGGATAGAGGTTCTTTTGTTTTGTGGTAAATCGGTAAAGGAAGAAATGGGAGGAAGAAAGATTAATGGGAGCAGAACTTCCTGACTAGAAGATGATGAGAAACAATTTCTAATTTTGGGATATTTAATGAGACAAGTATAAACTTGGGGATTCGGACATTAATTTTGGATTTAAGTCAATGGAATTAATTAAATAAAAGTGTGAATAATCAAACTTTATATGTAGTTCTTCGACCTAATATGAAGAAAAGTATAATACAGTTCTAGAACAATTTGGGTGAGCTATTGTAGGTGATGAAATATATAAGCTCGAATATTATATTTAATTTCTTTAAAGTAAATTACTTTAACTTGGACTCTGAAACCGTTCCAACTAAATTATGTTTTCTCGGTGGCGCAGTTCTGATTTAGCAGTTGTAAGCAATTCTTACCTACTACTGTAAAATGGCTGTCAGGATTAGGCAAAGTCCGTACTAATGTGTCCCAATCAATAAGGGGTTAGTGTAACGAAGACTAAACACTTCGAGAATAGCTATAAGTCAGAATATGTGTTGTTTTGTTTGCCTAATTCAACTTTAAACTTTTTACTAAAGTAGGTAATTTCTTATCAACATAAGTTTGGTTAAGATCGGTTAAGGTAAGCTAGGCAAGGCTAAAAATGATGCTCAAAGTTCATTAATATTAATTACCATCGTTCCAATACAACTTACAAGTCTCTCTATATAGACAAAACATTAAAACTGTTGGGATCTTCAGCAAAAAAACAACGCAAACTACTAAAATTGTTAGCAGAAAAGGTAAATAAAAACAGCCAAAAAATCTGATGTTGTAGCATGCCCACCATCAGGGTACATTTACGTATCGTATTGTAACAAATAAACAACCCATTACTTAGGCTGTATTACATGTTTCCCCACTACCCCATTACTGCGATATATTCCAACTAATGGCAGTTGAGATACCCATTAATCCACCACACCTCCCGGCATCGTTGGTTACAAACTTATATCAACGTCGCCGCAAGCAAAGTGTAAACAAAGCGCGAGAAGATCGCGAGATTGCGCGAGAAACCGCGCTACCGTGACGTCATTGCGCAGCTGCTAGTCAAGGCCACGTGATCTACATGTCGTGACCTGCAAGAACACGCCCACAGCAACAGATGCAGTACTGCAAGCCAATCTTTCGCTATTAAATGCCAGCTGTCACTTTGCCCATGCAATTCTACCCCTCAATTACGTGCAAGATAGCGACTCGACTCGCCCGAGGAAGAACGCAAGGTCCTCACCGTGGAATCTGATACCAATTAGGGATTGTGGGGTCGCTTGGTGGACAAATTGGATGTTTGACATCCTGGATATCGGTATCAATCTTTGTCTTGGATAACCGCTTTGGGAATCATTCAGGGATGACGTCATAGTCGAAAGGTATCGATATATTGAAACTTCTTGAAAGAAGTAGGGTCTAACTCCTAATGGAGTATGGAGGGTTACTTATTGCTCATTGTATGTAAACCAGGGAACGATGTAGCTAAATTTGTACAGGTTGTCCGTTCGTCCTGAGAACGTTAGAGGCTTTTTGGGCATTTAAAACTATAACCAATGCACATGATCATTTGTGGTTTATGCATGTGAACATGCATCTTGAGGATAAAATAGGCTACAAAATTCTGTGATTTGTAATTTAATGATGGGAAAGCAAGATTACAATTATTCTAAAGTGAAAGAAAATTGACAACAAGAAACTGACTTTTGATTATCTTTGGGAGATTGAGCAGACTTAATTCTTTCCGGCACGATTCTAGAAAATAAATTTCTCAAGTCATTTTGATTTTCTGTAGGTAGAGGAGCTTAACACAAATCCAACCTTTTCCTAATTTGGATGTTTTTGAATCTCAGAATCGGGGTTTGACGCAATATATTTTCTATCCTAACCAACCTGTTACATAAAACACAATTATCCAAGATATCTCTTTCACGAGGTTGAAGATGGAAATAGTGTGTCATAAAAGAAACCCACACGCTTTAATGGAGTCAATTTGTTAGTGTTAGAGATATAATGGTGTGGGTCGGGTGTTAGTTTGACATTAGAGTTGACTAGGAAACGATATACAGTGTGGGACGTTAGTGAAATTTTTGGAAACTCGATCCTTTTAAATTTGTTCTGGTAACGCAATAACTCCAAATTTTCAAAAAAGTATCATATTTTAGCCCACGCAAGTAGATGGAACTATACAAAACTGTACATAACAAACATATTTTTCATGAAACGCAGCCTGAACAGATTAGATTGGCATTTCTGAATAAGAAAAGAGAAATTTCATATATAACAAAAGCTATATTGTATGTTGAAACTTCTGCCATTTGATCACAACACCTAGAAAAAGTTCTCCAACACCTTTTGTGATGTTGCCATTACGAATTCATTTAAAAGCAATTTTAGTTTTGTAGTAATAAATTAGGAAACCAAAAGACTTAAAATTCAACAAATTTATCAGCTATTTGATGACTAATTATGTATTACAATCCACAAAAATCAGGTCTTAAAACATGACAGTCTTACCGATATTTAGTCTTTAAATGGTTACAGCTTGTCCATATAGTTGAGATGATTAGGCCTATATTAATATCAATTAATAGTGGTTCTCCAAACTCCCCATTTAAAATACTGTAACAATTCAATATTTTCACCAATATTTTTTTATAGAATAATTTAATTTCCACCATATGTTTTCATTTTATCTAAACGTTAATCCCTTTTCAAACCATATATAGTAATTAATTGTCCATGCAGACCAATAGGTAATCAATTTAATACAATATAATATAGAAATTTTCAAATAACCTAATATCATGTAAATATATAATAGCCTATAACTTTTGTAACAAAATTGCTTCAAATTCAACATAAATTTATTTAAATAACTTTTCAAAATTATAATTTAGCTCTCTAGCAAATGAAATTTGTTATAATATATTTGTGAACAGTGGCCTATAATTTTATGTTATTAAGTCGGCATTGACATATGTGAGTGCAACAATACATCAGACCATCATCTCTTCCAATAGAGCCAAGATAGTATGAAGATGCAAATTAGACACTACATATTTAATATTAAAATTTTATAAAGAAAAGTACATTATTCGGACAAAATTTGTGAAATTTGTTGAAAGAAGAACCATCCTTGTGACGAACATTCATAATTTACAACATCAAGAACTTTACTTCAAAGAAGACATCAATTTTGGTGAGATTACTCCAATAGACTTTTACCCCTTTGGAAGCCATTAAAACTTTTTTTAGGCCCAACCTCTGGACATTTGTACTCAAATTCAAAGTCAAGAACTTATAGAAGCTTAACCTATTCAAAATTATTATTAATTCAACCAATCTATAATTCGAACATACTTTATATTCTAAAACAAAATTTAATTAGGCTTATATCACAAGATTAATTTCAAATGCCGCTCGATCACCCCACCTGAGAAAGATCCTTGCAGTAGCCTAAATTATAACATTGAACTTAAATAATTAAAACCATTGTAATAGGCCTAGCCTAAAGTTTTTTTTAAAGTAAATTCATTTCCCACTGTTTGTACAATTTATTGTGAACCCCCTTTCTTTTCTTTCACTATCAGATTTGTATAATAATTAATAAATTTAAGTTTCGATTTTGTACATGGAGTTTCCATTGTAGACCTAAGTTGAAGGTTGATTACAATACTCTACTTCTTAAACATTCATGTCTTCGATCCCAATCACAAATCTCAATTCTCTACAATTCACTATTCCATCTTTGCACCACAATTCAATCCAGAACCCCACGATTCACATGCATGACCACCATAAAACAACCCTATTCCGTTAAAAGCTACAGCAATAAAATTCTCACATGGGGTAAAAGCACTTGATGGTGATGAATTATGATTGTTTGGCGCCATTTATGGCGGAAGAGTTCTTATAAAGTGGATATCAAAATGTCGTAAAACCCACCAATTACGCGGGCCAGTAGGCAGATGATGCAGCTTTACGCGGGTAGTAAAGTCAAAGTGGACAACAGGGTGGACTTGGCATCAGGTGTTTTGGAATAAATCTCGAAATATTCGCCGCTGTTTTATTGGCACTTCGGAGGGGATGAACTAGGATTGGGTTTGGGAAGGAGAATCATGTAAAACTCGTGGTTTATATGGTATAGTTGAAAATAAATGCTTTATTTTATTTTTATGTTTATTAAGTCTATGTAAATGTTTGCTTTTTAGGGGAAATTTTTATCACTGATTAATCAAACCGTTTTATTAGGTTTAGCCGTTACTAATAGGGTGCGTTTTTAGGTAAATAAGTAAGAGTTTTGAATGGATGGGATGTGACCTCTGTTCTGTTACGCTCTTAAGATCAGCTGATTTAAACGAGGATTCAATCGTTGACTTAAAGTTTTCTCAACTACCCAGTATTTAGCAAATACTAAACGCACTCAACATTAACTGAACTGAAATATAGTTTTTTCATAGACAATAAATCTATGGACGAATGATTTACGTTTATTATGCAGTGCTCTCTGGTAAAATATAGGTTTCTCGACGATTTTGTATCCAGCTCAACTGAAAAACAAAATGAATCAGAATTCATTTGTTAAAGGTAAGATTTGTGGGATTTGCCTCAATAAACTGATGTTTCCAGCAGATTAAAAATAACTATACAGGAAATTTGATCACAAATAAACGTCAAATATGCAATCAAAACTGTTAATTTTACCATACGCTAAGTGATACCATTTTATAAAGACTAAATTCTTAATCTTAAGAATATTGTCAACAATAATAGTTTTGTCATAAAACATTTTACTATTGTGACATGAACAGAAAGCAGGGACATTACAATTACAAAACGAATTTACCCATTCGCATTTATGAAAAATAAAAACTAAGATCAAAGTTATTCCTCAAGGGAACGACACGAATTCATAAACTCATTCAACCCTTACAGCTATAAACCTAAGAAAAATTGACGTATAATAAAACTCCAAGTAGCAATAACTCTCATTATCTTAGCTCCCGTCGATCATTGAGCTAATGAAGCACCATAAAAATGAAAATATCGCTTTATATTTGCCCATAAACGGATAAAGACCCTAGCTTGAAGCTCTCGTAAACGAGTATTAAATACCGAAAATAAGCTCGTAAACGATAATGCGATTTGTAAAAATCTAATTAACATTTTCCGTGATCGCGGCAATTACAATACTGGTTTTACGGCTTGTTTTACGGTCAGGGAGACGAGGAGTGTTAATAATTCTGAACCAATCAAAAACAGATGGCTTCGGTTGGCAATCATGCAGATAGTTGGGACACGTTGGGGATGAGGGACGGGGGACGAAACATCCCCGGGGAGAAGTACACCACCTGAGCCTAGTTGTAAACTGGACTCTGCATATTTACGTGTTTTACCCTTTTATTATCAGTGGCTCCAGTAAATATGATTGGACGCTTTTGTTATGGGATTGTAAATCGACCGGTTTTTTTTATGTGTTTCGCCATAGGGTTGTTTAGGCTTGTGTTTTAAGACTTACAGTATTGTGGATTTTTACAAAATTTCAACACACAGGTTTTTATTTTTTTTATCAAATTTTTCTTTAGGACTGCTTTACATCTTTTTTCGTTTTAATATTTCGTGTTTCCCAGTATGTGAACTATATTGGGATAATAGTTTCTTCCCATCTGAAGACAGGTTTGGATTCAAGGTATCGAAACGTCGATAAACCTCTGTTTTACCACCGAGTAAACATACCCGTATTTGGATTTATTGTCGGGGTTTTTAAGAAGAGGGCTCCCACATTTAAAATTTACCCTATGCAAAGAAAGTGTTGTAAATGAGGTTAGGCCAGGTTTGGTTTGAGCAGGGACAGAGTATCTAATTTTACTATGGTAAAGACATGTCAAGTGTGATGTTTATGATAAACGTTGATAAACCTCTGTTTTTAAACATACTCATATTTGAATTTATTGTCGGGGTTTTTTCAGAAGAGGGCTCCCAAATTTAAAATTTACCCTATGCAAAGAAAGTGTTGTAAATGAGGTTAGGCTAGGTTTGGTTTGAGCAGGGACATAGTATTTAATTTTATTATGGTAAAGACATGTCAAGTGTGATGTTTATGATTAGTGGGAAGGAGCACAAATGTAAAACTATGAATTTATGTTTGTATTAAATTCATATAAGTTTATTATTTTTCATTTACATGAGCTTCATTGCATAGGGCACACTTTAAAAGTCATCTTGAAAGAGGACCATCGTCTTTATAGGACCCAGGGGAGCAACCCCGTTTAGAAGTTACACCAATATGCTAACCCCAATATTCTTTGAGTCCAAAATAATCCCACAGTTTGTCAATCGCAATACAGCCGCAGTCAGAAGACTACCATTACGGAGACTACTAACCACTCGTGACGTCAGGGTTACTTTCACTGTATCCACCGAAGGACGCCCGGTGCCGCGGCCAGGGGGGCGGACGCCCGACCGGTGGGCAGGCAAGGTGAAAGTCCAGGAGTTCGTTCACCGCGTCTCCCACGGGAGATAGTGTCATCCCGTAACATCCCACGGGATATGGAGCTTCCTACACTGAACTATACGACCATAGATTGATTATACAGGGTGAATAAAAAGTCAAGACCCCCCCCCCTCTAATATTTTTCCAAGTAAATATACAGAGATATCCTTTTGGTGGTCGAGCAATCTTAGCAGGAAGTTTCATTTGATCATTTTGAAATTTTTGAGTGTCCCCCCAAAAGGGGGGATTTGGGGGGCAACTCAAATATTTTAAATGTAAACCCCCTTCAAGTGACACCTCATTTTGAAGTGTTTACAAAAACTTAAAGAATGGTGAAAACTAGAGGTCGCTATCTCTTCTCTATCCAAAATGGTAGCCCGTCAAATGTTGTGGAAAATCAACGGTAAAATTGTTAATTTTGGCTACAATTTTGGATAGAGAAGAGATAGTGAGCTCTGGTTTCCACCATTCTTTAAGTTTTTGTAAACACTTCAAAATGAGGTGTCACTTGATAGGGGTTTCTATTGAAACATTTTTAGTTGTTGCCCGAATCCCCCCTTTTGGGGGACACTCAAAAATGTTAAATGTAAACCCCCTTCAAGTGACACATCATTTTGAAGTGTTTACAAAAACTTAAAGAATGGTGGAAACCAGAGCTCGCTATCTCTTCTCTATCCAAAATGGTAGCCAAAATAACAAATTTAACCGTTGATTTTCCACAACATTTGACGGGCTACCATTTTGGATAGAGAAGAGATAGCGACCTCTAGTTTTCACCATTCTTTAAGTTTTTGTAAACACTTCAAAATGAGGTGTCACTTGAAGGGGGTTTACATTTAAAATATTTGAGTTGCCCCCCAAATCCCCCCTTTTCAAAATGATTTCAAAATGATAAAATGAAACTTTCTGCTAAGATTGCTCATCTACCAAAAGGATATCTCTGTATATTTACTTGAAAAAATAATAGAGGGGGGGGGTCTTGACTTTTTATTCACCCTGTACATGCTTCCTAGTAAAATCATTCTTATGTAACAGCTTAAGACTGGTTTAGAATGTTGTTCGATACTTTGGTGCGTTTATGTATTTCCTATTAAATAATTTAAACTCAAGTGTAATTTTTGAGTGAAGATTGCACCAGGATGCATATTTTAGAACGGTGATAACAGAAGGGTCAGTGTTGAATTGATGAGATTCAGCTAAGTTACTGGCTAAGATCCGTGGATTGTTCAGCCAGGACCAAATATGGTATATGGTTACCAATTATCAATAATACAAGATATTTCTTACTTCTCTTAGGTTCAAACTGGCATCCTTCTGATTAATTAGGCTAGAACTAAATCCACTCACAGCTATCATGCTAAATAGGTGTAAACTAGGTCTACTAACTGCGATATTGCAGCAAAAACGTAAATCACTTAACAAAATATGCACCTGAAACAAGTGAGGATCCTTTAGCAGATACCAACGTACATGGAACACAAAAAAAACATGTTAAACATTTTACAGCGAGGAATCTACTTGCTAAAACATTTATCTGGATGAAAGAGCATGTATTTTCACGATTGTGCTTAAAATTGCTTATTAATATTAATTTTGTTGCAGATCAAAAATTGAAAGACATGAAATCGATAAAGTTCTCATTACTTTTACTTCTCTTCTCTTCGGTAGTCTCAATAGAAAATAAGGCTGCCTCAGACAATGTTGGAGAGTTTTTGGGGTAAGTAAACAGTTTACAAATTCTAATTATAAGTAATTTTAAAACCCAGAAGAAGTTCTTAATTTAAAATAGACGAGGTGTTAGCCCGTCCTACGTACGGGAATTCAGTAGTCAGTTAAAACCGTGTACAATTCAGATCAGCTAGTTCACACATATAAAGACAAAGTATCTTGCAGTTTTAATGTGAAAAATCATCTCTAAACAAATGTTGTGTGACCAAATATGTTTTTATTCCATCATAGCCCTATACGATATGCATTTTCAATCCGATAATTTTACAATAAAACAGCAAAATTCTGAAATTTGTACGATGTGAAAAGCGTTGAAGTGAGATTTGCAGCCGATTCGCACAGACGCACACTGATTATAAGTAGCCTACAGTAGAGAGAGTAATAGCTTTGCCTATTAATACAACACTTCTTTATCTTATACAACTTCTATATCCAATAGTCAATGGTAATAGTCAATTGAGAAGTGTATAGACCTAGTCAACGATATTACCTTCCATAGCATACCTGCCTCTTCCATAATTATTATCACCATAATACAACTACTATACACAATTTCCAGTAGGTCTGAATAGAAACGACCTAAAATAAAACGATAATGCCCAATTAAGTTCACAGTACACATAATTTAACTTTGGTGTCCTAACATCAAAACTAATCGTCACACCTATCTTTTATATCAATTTCACTGCATTAATTGCTAAACAAATAAGTGTAAACAAAGAAAAGTAAAAACAATAACAGTTTGTTTTGAAACAGCTGTTTGGTTCAAATAACATTCATTTGAAAAAAAAAACTGGTCACATGTAGCAGGAATATAAAACGTAAACACGCTAGTAAAGCTAATGACGTAATTGTCAATGTTTATTATCCATACCGTTATCAGTTCTATCCTTGATAATTACCCACCCTCATTGAATAAATGTACATCGTAATTTCCCATATTAGTTCATTTAAACTACAATATATTCATAGTTTAAATAAAAGTGATATTTTCACGTTTGGGGGCGCTGATATAGGCACCCCCAAACGTAACCACAACTGAACACGATTTCATAAAAGGATGGTTTGTCTAATTGCAGTATCCTAGGTCAATAAATAAGTAAATTAGTGAACAAAACGTTGACGTTGTGTTTAAGGCCTTTTCACACCGGCGTACTGGACGTACTGTACGTTTGGTACGGCCAGTTCGTACAGTACGCGGTCCTTTCACACCGCACAGAAACTTCCAAAACGTACACTTGTTCGTTTGCAGTCAGACAAGTAACACTGGCTGAGCACGTGGTTTTGGTGTGACCACTGCGCATGCGCGAGCTCGCGTACGCCTCGTACGATTTAGAAAAATCGCTCTCCGAGCGATTCTCACAAAACCATCGCGTACGTACTGTACGTACAGTACGTTCTGTACGCGAGGTGTGAACGAGCCCATATGATAACATGGACAGCGATTTGTTGAAAAAAAAACGTACCAAACGTCCAGTACGCCGGTGTGAAAAGGCCTTTAATCTATGTCATCCATCTGTTTATCTTTGTATAAAACCCGGCTGAGGTTGTGGTGGTAATTTAAAATCGTGATTCCTGATTATTCTTGATCTTCTTTTTATGACATAAATATTTCCGGGCCTAATCCAAACAAAGTTAAAGCAGACAAACACAAACATTAATTGTAAACATAAAGCTACCATTAAGAATTAATGCATGTAAACACTGTTATTTTTTTAATCTTTCCTTGAAAAGTGGAGCAGTAAAATAATTTGCATTTATCCTTTTTTATTAAGACTCGTGTACAGAGCCTCGATTTGTACTTTGGTTTAATTAATTTTGGTTAAAACTGTGGTTTTAACTGTGGTTTTAACTGTGGTCTAATTATCTCTACTAATCTTACTTATTTCCTATAATCAATGACAAAATAAAAGTAAATAAAATAACCTCATAGTTCCATAGTTTATATTTAACCAGCTGTTAGTTAAAACAAATTATTATATTGCTCTAAAACAAATCGAAGATTACAATGATTGCTTTAAAAAATAATTTGAACATCCTAGTATTTTACTATGTATATTTAATTATATTGTAATCCTCTTACCGAAGAATTGAACGTATCAATGATTAGCATTACATACAGTATAAATAAGTCAACCCTAAGTATGTCTTTACATTATTATCCAAATGCTGAATTTGTGATACAAAAGCTGAATGTTTACAGCTGTGATGGTAAGCAAATTATGCCAAAAGCTAGTTTAGAATCTTAGCGTCGGCTGCTAGACTTTTTAAAAATTAAAATTTAATTTCTAAAAAACTGGGACCCTAAACTCAAATTATGGCTTCGACATTCCCTAGTTCTCAAAATTATCTTTCTTTCTACACAAAAATCGTAAAAATCCGTCGAGTGGTTGATTCAGAATCGTGAAATAAAAAAACACTGTTTCGTTTTAATATTATAGATTCTTCAAAACATCCCCGAAGCAAGACGAACTTCTTTATGACATGTACTGTGCTGAAAGACAAGTTGTCTTGTTTTACACTCATTGTAAAGACAAATGCCTGTGACGAATTTATTTTCCCCATAAAAGTTGCAGCTTCAGGCAACAAGACATAAAGACAAGATGTTCAACGTTTTAGTATTACTGAAACTCAAACTGTAAATGTATTAAGCTCTTTAGAGTGAAGGATGTTCAAAAGATGCAAATACCTATTATGCTATACATCGATGATTATGCTAGGCTTCTACGGTCAAAGTATGCAGCCAAGTTGTGGTCTTCACACTATGATCGCATCGTTCAATTTATGGTGACATTTAAACTGTAGTTTTTTTTGTAATCCGAAAATGGATTACAACGTATCCAAAATTTTTGCCACTATCTTCACGGATTCAATGACGTGGTCATCTTCAAGACCAAGTTTATGAAAGGGATTTTTCTTTACTTTCCGAGATAAAAGAATCACCCCGCATACAGGGATTTCCAGCGTAAATTTTACAGTTAATCTTAAAAAATAACACTCACAATTGATTTTCTTTTCAGGCAGCTGACATCATTGTTGAACCAAGGTATTCAACAGGGAGTTGTACCTTACCAGTCAGGTGGGGGTGGATATCCTCCACCGAGACCTTACCCTCCACCTCCTGGAACACCCTACCCTCCTGGACAACCGTATCCTCCAGGCCCAGGTTCTCCAGGACCTTACCCTCCTGGACCCTATCCACCAGGCCCCTACGGCCAGTATCCCCCGGGATACCCTGGTCAGGGCTTGGTCCCCGGACCCACCTCCATTCTCGGAGCTCTCTCGTCCATCGCCCGCTACGACGACCTCCGCTGTGTCCCTAGGCTGCTGTGCGAGGTGGCCTCTGGGGCGAGGCCCGGCAGCTACGGTTATCCGTCGTACACCCAGGAAAGTCCGGTGCCTTTCCTCTCCAAGGATGCTTTAGTCACGTGAGTGAACTGTCAAGCTTTTAAAACTATTAGAAGTATTAGTTTGTTTGCCATCCTATGAATATTTTTAATGACTTTTACTAATTAATACAAATGAAGTTTGACACCCTTCCTTGTTGAATCCGAACAGTAAGGTCTGATGACGATAGATATTTTCTGACCTTAAAAGAATTAATAAAAAACATTAAAAACAAAACTTTTTCTACAAGATATGAATCATCGAAAAATATCAATTTTCTCAAATATTCACCAGTAAACGTTGACAAAATTGTAATACGAAAAAAAGAGAATTCTAAATACTGTAGCCGTACAAGGGAAATATTTTGTTTAGTTTTATCTTTTAAAATAGTATTTTAAATATTTAATTTAGAAAGACGAGCTTATGAGAGAGTTTATGTTAGCGAGTTCATTACCTGAATAACATGTATTATTATAGCATATTTTGTTTAAAATAGCTGGGTTATTACTAATTCAGTGCTGCAATCTTGTACTATTTAGCTTTTGCAGGGTTTTTTACGCTCTTTAGGAAATGCAATGTCATCATAGGAAAAACATTGATCAATCAAGTTCAATCGGTTATTCTATACTTTAACTTCTGTATACTGTAAGCAAACACATTACCTTGTATATTATTAGCCCAGTCAATGAATGCAATAAAACACCCTTTTTCGCAACTAAATGGTGGAAAGCTGGATTTTTTATATGTGATAGAACCACTTGAGAGGTGTATTTTCCCAAAAGTCCCCACTTCTACCCCTTGAGCTTTCCCCCCCCACCCCCCTCCAAACATAGAAATTGCAGTGTTTTACTTAATGGGTCATGATTCGAATGCTATGTAAGCTATCGAGCTGCAATTTGTTTTGTTTTATTTCTGATTAGTTTTCCTACAACTTTTGTATTTACAACATTTTTCTAAAACCAATACTTAGGGAGATATAAAATTTAAACTTCGTTAAAAGCTTTGTTTCAGAGTGCAAAATTTTGTTTTTCTCTATGTATACTTTTAATTAGAAATAATACGAAAATATGGTTCAATCAAATGTTTTAGTACGTTTTTCAAGGTTTACAAATATATTATTGGTTAGTCATCTAGGTGACCGGGTGAAGAGCTGGGCGTCGGCAAAGAGAGCGCGTGCGGGCTAGTTGAACACTTCTGCGCTGCGTCATAGCATCTAGCCCAGCCAATAAACGCACAAACTGCCTTTTTTCGTATCTAAATAGTGGAAAGCTGAGTTTGTTATATGTAATGGAACCACTTAAGACGTGTTTTTTTCAAAAAGTTCCCGATTACTCCCCTTGAGCTTTTCCCCGCAACCCCTTCCAAGCCTGGAAATTACAGTCGTTCACTTTACTGGATATAATTCAAATTCTACGCATGCCATCGTATTGAAATTTAATTTGTATTATTTGTAATTAGTTTATCTTCAACTTTTGTACTAAAGGCTTTCTTATAAAACTATATCCAAAGAGATATAGCATTTTAAGTTTTTTTGTATAATTTTTATGTTTTAGAGTACACAATTTTGTTTTACCCTCTATATATTTTTTCCAAATAAAATGCGCAAAATGTTTCAAACAAAAATATTTTGTATTTTTTTACGGTTTATAGATATATATTTGGTTAGCCGTCTGAACGAACTGATGTATATACACTATATAGTGTGGTGCGTCGGCAAAGAGAGCGCGTGCAGGCTTCTTCAAAGCATCTGCGCAGCCTAGCCCCACCCGTCGATGCGTCGCGTCCTAGGCACCGACATCGCTAAGTTCTCAAAGGTTGTATACAAATGCTAAGGCGTTGTACTTTGTACTTTACTACCAAAACAATCTGTATCCAAGCTTAACCGTGAACTGCAAAAACAATTATTATTTAGATGGAACCCAATAATTTCTCTACCTACTTACTTGTTATACTTGCAGTACTTGTAATACTTGATTTCTTCATCTTTGACCAACGGAAGCTTGATAGATTGAGGTATAGAACACTAGGCCTAATAAACACTTTAAAAATCACTTTAAACATACTCTTTGCTCTTCCTTACGTTACAATGCGCTTTCCATTATCTACCACCAATGGGACTCGCTTTGTTCCGCAAGATTTATACTAACTGCGCCTCGCGGTCGGTAAAGATCTAAACAGTAAACTGCAAAAAAACAATAATTAGATTAAACCTAATCATTTGTACATTTCTTAAATTTATTGTTAGTCTTAACTCGTTTCTCATTTTAAATAATAATTTATTTAATTATTTCTGTCAACGGCTACACCTATTGACAATAATATACATGGATACATACAGTATATTATATTACATAAAGCTGGGTAAGAAACATACATCGCCATATACATCGCCCAATGATGAGATGGCCCAATTCGCCTATGGGTCTGAGGATGATTGCAGTGTCGAATCGAAATCTACCACCACTTACCATCTTTTATGTATATTTACAGTATTGTGAGTAATATTATAAGTGTAAATTTATGTTTTAAGTGTAAGGCTATTAGACGTATTTTCTTTTATTTACTTTCCAATTAATTAATATAATAAGGCATATATCCAAAAGTTATAAATAAGTAAGTAAAAAACTGTATTTGTGTCCCCATACATGCAGGCAAGACTATTTACGGTATACAACACCCGTAATTGGTAATTGGTTGTAATTGGTTTATGTATTTTATTTTAGGTTGTTATACAGGCAAATTATTAAAATTTCCTTTCTTAACATATTGTGAAGAGGTGTCAATCAAATTGGGGTTTTTTCATAATCTCGGCGTCGTTCTGTGCTCTAATATTTGATTGTTTTCATGTTATCTTAAAAATGAGTCAGCATATTAGTTCTTTATTGGTTAGTGGTAGACATTATGCAAACGTTTAACATCGCTAATTAAGATGAAGGCGCTTATTAAGTATTTTAAAATCTCCTCTATATAGACTTAATAAAAAAGTTAGTTTTAACATTGACTGGTTTTAATTTGTATTCATTACCATGATTAAAAATGGCTTATAAATATTACCGACAGTTTTCTACGTTGTTCGTGATATTATTTTAACACAGGCTTACAACTCATGGCAGAGCAGAAAGCTAACCCTTGCTAGCGGGAAGCGTGAAGAGAGGGACATATCAATGATAGGATGCAGTTTGTATCAAGGAGTGGGTCTACGAAAACTTTTTACTGACAACGAAATGCTTCATTTAGTCACGGTTTAGCTTGGAAACAGATTGTTTTGGTGGTAAATTAGGCTACAAATTAGGAAGTCATAGGTTTTGTATGAAACAGTTGAGAACTTAGCGGTGCCGGTCCTTATGCATCGACGGGCGGGGCTGCATGCGCGGATGCTTAAGAAGCCTGCACGCACTGTCTTTGCCGACGCCCACACTACATCAGTTATTTCAGATGACTAACCAAATACATATATTTATAAACCTTAAGGAACATACTACAATTTTGTTTCTGACACATTATGCGTATTTTAATTTGAAAAAATATATAGAGGGTAAAACAAAATTGTGTACTCTAAAACATAAACATTATCAAAAAAAGTTAAAATGCTATATCTCTTTGGATATAGTTTTATAAGAAAGTCTTTAGTACAAAAGTTGAAGATAAACTAATTACAAATAATACAAATCAAATTTCACTACGATGGCATGCGTAGGATTTGAATTATATCCAGTAAAGTGTAATTTCCAGGTTTGGAAGGGGTTGGGGGGAAAAGCTCAAGGGGAAAAATCAGGAACTTTTTGAAAAAACACGTCTTAAGTGGTTCCATTACATATAACAAACTCAGCTTTCCACTATTTAGCTACGGAAAAAGGCAGTTTGTGCGTTTATTGGCTGGGCTAGATGCGATGACGCAGCGCAGAAGTGTTCAATTAGCCCGCACGCGCTCTCTTTGCCGACGCCCAGCTCTTCACCCGGTCACCTAGATGACTAACCAATAATATATTTGTAAACCTTGAAAAACGTACTAAAACATTTGTTTGAACCATATTTGCGTATTATTTCTAATTAAAAGTATACATAGAGAAAAACAAAATTTTGCACTCTGAAACAAAGCTTTTAACGAAGTTTAAATTTTATATCTCCCTAAGTATTGGTTTTAGAAAAATGTTGTAAATACAAAAGTTGTAGAAAAACTAATCAGAAATAAAACAAAACAAATTGCAGCTCGATAACTTACATAGCATTCGAATCATGACCCATTAAGTAAAACACTGCAATTTCTATGTTTGGAGGGGGGTGGGGGGGAAAGCTCAAGGGGTAGAAGTGGGGACTTTTGGGAAATTACACCTCTCATGTGGTTCTATCACATATAAAAAATCCAGCTTTCCACCATTTAGTTGCGATAAAAAACATTTATTGACTGGGCTATATATTATTAGGTTATTAATTAGATTACTCTTTTCAATCATTTGAATAGAAAATATCTTTTTGGCCCCAATCAAACCCCTCCTTCACCACACCTGGACATTATCCAGTGGCAATGTTTCATCACTGTTTATCTCTAATGCAAGTGCTACATCATAGACGTCTACTCCACTTTGTCCGTTGATGAATACTTTACCGACCCTGGCTCTAAACAATGTCAAACCGAGGTCGTTAATCACACTGCATTATCGACACTGAGGATAACCAGGCACTGGGAACGGTGGAACAAGGAACGCGGGGAACGCTGGATAGTGAACCAGCGTAAACATGACCTCCGACACGTAAACACATCATAGCTTTGATGTACTCAGATACCAGCTGTTATTTATCATGTGTTCGCGATAGGTTTGTGAGGGATGGTGGGGAATTGGATAACATTCATAATTTTTATAGGGTAAAAGGGTATACTAATCCTCTAGCACGCGAAAACGTATTGCACAATTTATTTTGGGTAGAGATGATAGCATGGAGAAAGTAAACAAAATTGGTACCGTAAAATAAATGAGTACAGATTCGATTAGGACCCCTCATATATCCTTGAAGAATAACTTCTTCCAAAACTGTAAATCCACCAGAGGCAAGTTTTTTCGATTAGGAATTTCTTTATTTACATTCATAAGGATTTGAAATATTGCAACAAAGTTTTTGTATTTTGTCTATTATACTCACCAGGACCAGGTTGCGCAATTCAACATACAGATTACCCTATACAAAACACTCTCTGTATCTACAATGACATACAACTGTCATTTTTCTACTTTCTTATTCGCTGGAACCAAACCTTGCAAAGTAAAAAATAAATGAAAATAACCTTCTTAGATTAATTTTAACTTTTACATGTCCACGAGATAAAATAGGGGAAGGCATATAAGAAACTATAGTAAACATTAGTAATAATCTGGGTTGATTTAAGTTTGTAATAAATTGGTTTTGGGATGACTAGGTGAAAACAGTAACTAATTTCAACTAGCTAAGCTGAACCAACATGTTTATTTTACTAAGATCAACCGTTTCTTTAGTCAGGATCATTATTAGCCCAACAGTCAACGACAACTGGATCCAGTTTAATTATTTTTTATCCTAATCATGTTTGTACCTACTGTATTCATTAAGTTATTGCTAACCCAAACAAACGCTGAATTAGGCAATCCGGTTTAGTTTCCATAAACCAAAAAGTCTTCGAATACGTTCTCAGACTTTTGAACTGTTTTCCAGTACATGGTTGGGGATTAGCAATAATGATGTGTAAGCTAAATCTGTCAAATGTATGCCCGCCACATGAGTTGCACAATGTTGCCCACATGCTATATGCCGGAGGAGGGATATTTGCATTCATTTACGCCTTCGCGCTCGTTAAAACCACATTGAGTTTCGCGATTGCAAAAGAAGTTTAGGTTGGACCGTGTCATTATTTGATCTAGATTCGATCCAAGTAGTCAATTACGTTGGTAATTGTGTATAATTATAATTTTAGTCGTATCAGTCACGTGTGTGGTTATTTAATACGTATAACTTAATTTGATAGTGTAACTAATACTACATACATATTTTTATTGGAGGTTATCTAGAATGTAGGATTTGCAACGCAATAAAGAACTCATTGCTTTGTGTCTTCTTAGAAACAAAAATATTTCTAAAAACTGCCATGTACTTAAAAAGAAATATTTATGCATGACATTGTCTTTTCATGCTTCAGGCTGTTGACTGTGCTCAACTTCGTTGACGACTCCCCACTTCTAGTCTTCGGCAGAGCGGCACTCCTTGGGTACACCTCCAGGGGTGACTCCCGGGCTTGTCTCGTCGCCTACCCAACCTGTCCAAGGGACCCGGACCATCTTGTCGACTACCTCAACAACCACAACGGAGGTTTCTTCAGGTTCTTCAACCAGCAGTTGCAGCAGTACGCACCCCAGTACCAACAGTACTATCCTCAAGGACCTCCACCATACCCGGGCCAAGGAGTTCCTCCACCGTATCCTCCCCAAGGAGCGTATCCTCCTCAAGGACCCTACCCTCTACAAAGACCCTATCCTCCACAAAGGCCTCCCCCTCCCTACGCTCAAGGAGCATTCCCTCCTCAAAGACCTTCATCGCAGTATCCCCAAAGACCGCTGAGGCCTTACCCATCCTACCCGTCCCCCGGACTCCCCCAGCAGTACTCCTCTCAACATCAGAAGTACCAAAGCAGGATACAGAACAAACCTGAGAACATCCTTGAGTACAACTACTACACTTCTAACCCAGTAGACGAAGACGCTAATCGACAAGCATTCGCTGCATTCCAGAACCAAGACAGTGGCAAAAACAAGTCTAAATTAGTCTTTCCTGATCAAGGAGCTCAAAGTACGCGATTACAAAGTACCAGAACTGGTAAAACTCTTCTGTTTCCTGTAGATGATTCTAGAGACCAGTTGGTGTCGAATAGATTACCTGCTGAAAGACCGATCTCCATGATTTTCCCAGACCGCACTGGCACTGGGGATCTTCGTCTTGACGTTGATGAGTTCGGGAACTACAAGACAGTTTACTACGAATCCTTACAGCACTTTGATAACTCTAACAGAGGTTCCAGGCAAGTAGCGTTCCCCTCAAAGACGATGCAATTCCCAAAGAAAACTATGCAATTTCCAACGCAGTAAGTGCAGATCTTCACTATAATGATTATTTTCCCCAAGAAGAAGATTAAATTTCCATCAGAACACGCAGTTTTAATTAAAGAGACAGGGTGTTACCATAAAAGAAGAGCTAAAAATACTGTAATAAAGTGCTCCACCAAAATGTTTTGGGTCCTACGTAAATGCAATTTTCCAAACATAAAATTCAGTTGCACACCATATATCATTCAGAGAAGATACAAATTTCTCCAGACTCAATAAAACCCCACAAAGAAAAAAATTCCCACAAATGAGGTGCAGATGTATACTCCAGCAATGCAGATTCTAGGAAAAGGTGATGAAGTTTCTCCCAAAGGATATTTTGAACATCACATACATTTCCTTCAAAAGCAACGCTCCTTTCAGAGCACATGCATTTGCTCACGCAGTAAATTCAGTTACCAACACAGAAAATGCAATTTCTTACATAGGAGATTCAGATTCATTACCAACAATACGGGTTTGGACAGAAGATGCAGTTCCGGGAAAGTTCACAACACATAATATGCAGTTTGGCCCACAGAAGGTCAAGCACATAAAAGATACAGTTTCCTACGCAGAGGATTAAGTTCTTACAGACAATACTTCTCTTCAGTACAGTTGCAGTTTCCTCCACAGTGAATGCATTTCCTAACAGACAATGCGGTGCCAGTAATCAACTGGAAGATATAAAGTGATTTTGAGCGCGTCAGTGTCGCGCATCCATCAAGTTGTCACAAACATTGATAGATCTGCTCGCATTATGTCTTTTATCTCTCCGCTCTCTGCCTTCTGTGGTATAAATCATTAGTATAAAACGCGACACAATTTCCATTTATCACATCGCTTCTCGATTATGGAGTTCGTCTAATCTTCATACGGTACTTCATGTCGTAATGGCAAGATTGAAACTTGATGTTGAAGAGACTAATTAAATAACTGCTTCCAATAAACTTGGGAATATTAAAGGTGATTTAATTTAACGACCATCAATATCTTGATTTTGGACAAAATTCATTCCATACATCCATTACGTAATGCACAAAACATTATTTTTTCCATATCATTATTTTTACGTACCGGTAGGGACATATGAAACTTTGTACGCTTACTATCATTGTAAGGAACCACCCTTATTCTTGCTCTAATGAGGTAACTTAACTCTCTTATTTTGTATGTTACCAACTTCACGATTTGTAGCAATTTAAACACAAAAGATCCATCGTATGAATATTATAAGGCAGGGTAATCTTGGACTTTCTTCCAAGTGTCTTTTTTACTTATCAGTTGTGCTACCTTTTTTTATTTGCTTTTTATCTACCAATGATATTTGTGAGTATTTCAATGCTAATAAATATCATAAAATCTCTAATTAGGTTGAATACTATGTACAATTATTTCTAACAAATTAAAGAAACAAATATTATAAAGTTAAAATGTTTGAGACGTACTATCAACTGACATACTGAATGTTTCAAAATTTCCACTTCTTTACAAAAATTGTGTTTTTCTCTCAAATTTAGGTATCAAATTCACATGGTTTTTTGTGTTATTTATTTATTTTGTACTTCTTTTTACTAACTTGTATTGATTAAATAGTTTTTCATTACAGCTGTTTTACACTGATGACAGTTGTTTCTGATAATGTACCTACCTAAATAAATTGCCTCTTGAACATAACAAAGGCTGTTACCATGGTTAAGAGTAACTTATGGTTGTGAGTTTGTACAAATCTTGTTAATTTTGTAAATAAACTTTTATTTATATAGTTTATTTCGTCCACACCTTATTTATTTCCCTAATACATGGTCTCTTTAGCAATTCAAATTACCAGAATGCCAGACCTCTTCAATTTAGCAGAATTGCCACCTTTACGATCGACCTTTCTGTTTAAAGACCCCTAATTTTCTTTGCTTTGATTAAGTATTTTCCTGTGATTCGTCCAGGCTCAAACTGCCTCCCAATACCCGACTTATCGTGAATGCAAAATCGTGAATCTTTTTTCGAAATATGAATTAAAACTCAGGAACCAGTTCATTCTTATTTTGACCCAAGAAATCACTAATTAAATTATGTCCCCACCTTTTTTAACACCTTGTCTAAAGATCAAACCTTTCTGTACTATGAAACTATCCACCATATCACTTACGACTGATGACAAATGACTGACAACCCAGGCAGTGTTAAGCACTCATAGTGGTAGACTCAGCAACTCGCTGATCACTGATTACTGATTATCGATGGTAATCGTATATTTGCACAGATCTGCCTTTGATCAACCATACACTCAACTAATGCTGCAAATAGTTTCAAACTAACGACCGATTCGGTTCATTTGCGGCTCCGTGGTAATCTCCAGTGCGGCGTTTGATTCGAAACCGTTCCAGCCGATTTAGCCGGTAAAGCCTGGTTTGCAATCAGAATGAAATTGGCGTTCTGGATTACTTAAAATAGTGACTCTTTGAATGTGAGTAGTTTGAAAAGGTTTCAAAAGTAAAATTATTTTAAGGTTTGTTTTAGTTTTTTTTTAAAGAGGAGGATTTAGTTAAACAACATACGAAATTAAACTATATTTACATACCGGTACTTTACCTCTGTTTAAACCCTTGAGAAAGACAGTGCAAAAAGCTTGGTAAACAAGTTAAGAATGTTATTCACTAATTTCTTTTTGTTAAAGTAATTTTATTATTTACAGTTTAGAAATTATGGGTTATATTTATATTTATATTTTTGGGTTCTTTATGCATAAATATCACACGAAAACTCCATAATTTTAAATATCGTTCTGAAAAAATACTTTGGTCTATAGAAAACCCAACCGTATTTTGTCCGTTATCAACCATATTTTTAAGTAGTTTTCAGTTGCTTCACCAACAATTTTGTACCTTTTAATTAATTTACAGTGATAAAGGTGAAAATTTTCTAAAAAGGTGTTTATACACATAAAATCCATAGAACACATTTACTTAAACTATATTTTTCAAATCATTGGCTACTCTCTTCCAGAAATTATTAAACTGTTTAATCAATTTTGTCACTTGAGGTTTTACGAGATTTTTAAAATGTATTTAAAACATCGTATACCGTAGTTTCAGTGGATTGATAATCAGAATTTTTGACACGATATGACGTTTAAAAAGATTGAACACTAAAAAAATATCAACGAAGGACTATAATGTAAAATTGTCTAATACGTTTGAAACGTAAAATACACAAGCTGGATTCAAGGCACAATTAATCCACCAACGACAAGATTTCAACAAGAGGTATAACAAAAGACGCAACACTTCTCTGGTTATCGCAGTCATAAATAACAAGATAATAAGGTACAAGACGGCCACGATATATTGCAAACAACAAAAACAGGATATCGCACGGTAGCGAGTACAAGTAACACTGCAATCCGCCTATCCACCTACAAGGATCTGCTTGGAGTCCCTCAGGGTTCCACTCTGGGACCGTTCATGTTTCTCCAGCTTGAAACTTGGAGTGTATAAAAGCTATAAGCGTCTTGCATTCAAAACTTCTTGCTCAAGAAAATGGTTGTGGTATGGACAAGGTCTTGCAGTCAGGTAGATGTAAAGTAAGCACATTGCAGACTAATATTCTGTGTAAGAGGGAAATCATACACTAATTAACGACGAATCAAACCCAGGTTAGATGTCTTCGTCGATGTTTTTATTTTACCTGGTGATGGACTTTTAAGTCTGAAACTATAGGAGTAAACTACTGGGAAAGGATCACTTGACGAATCCAGGTAACATAAACCATTTAGTTTCAAATTGAGATTTCACTTTGAATCTTAAGACCCATGTTTGGACAGTATGTTTAGCTATCTGATATCACCGCATCTTATCGGTTCAAATACCACCTTAAGTTGTAGGTATACCTAGAAAACAAAGAAGGATAAGTTTCTCAGGTAAACTTTCTCTTCGCTGGAAAAGTCCCAAAAATAAAACACAAAAGACCAAAAAATTAACCGTAGATAGTTTATTAACCTCTATTGATTCTTGTGCCATATCAACATTTTTAACTACGTGACCTGGTCCATCGATTTCACAACTCATATACTGGTGTCGGATCGGACACTACTGAAACACTATATGGATATTTTAATGTTGTCATGATAGACCTTGGACAAATAGCTGACATAATATATTGGTCTGTGGAAGGGTGGCAACGCGAAGGGTTGATAACACCAACCCTTCCTTGATTTACGATCCTTGCTGACAGGGATGTTAGATTTCGTTAAAGAACTTACCCGTCTTGCAGCAGTAATCCGCTGTTAATTTGAATGTTAATGTGTTTATAATGCAGACCAAACAGCAATCGAATACGTTGGAATGATTTTGTATGTTCATTTGTACAAATACAGTAGATAGTGAATACACTGCGCTCTCTAAGGTTGTTTTTGTAAGACGAGAAAGTCTTCTATAGGAGTATTTTGAGTATTTTAGCGCAAATTTATGTTTTAGATCGTGTATACCTACAGTAACTACTGTAGTTTGTTTACCATGACATTTGATGTAAAGATCACTTACATGGTACGGACTAGTTTGCAATCGTATGTTTCTTTTTGTCTTTGACTTTGATTGAAGTTTGTATCTTTAGACCTGTGTGGTAGATGTGTTTTGATTTATAAAGGATTAATTATTATTATTATTAAAAGTATTTTATTTACAAAAGATAAATTATTCTTTACTTTGAATTGCTTTATTTCATTTTATTAATGAATAGTATCTACAATTAGTGTATAATATGGATGCCCTACCATAAAATAAGTACTTGATTTCCATGTTTTTATTGTGTTTGGCTTACAACAATTGCTTCAGAACTACTGTAAGAAAACGTAATATGGCAAATGTTACGCAAAGTCCAATAATAGATTTGCAATCACACAGGGAATGCGTTGTACGCACTACGCACAATCTTTAGCCTGAAATACTTAAACCCAGATCACCTCTCAGGTTATTTGCATCGGTTTTGCAACACCAAGTGTTACTTTG